TGACACTTCACCCACAGTCTGGTGGGATGGTAGAAAAGTACAATTGGACACTGGGACAGGAATTGGCAAAGTTTTGTAACAGCCGCCAAGATGACTGGGATGTCTTACTCCCTCCACTGTTGATGGCCTATAGAACAGCTGAGCATGAAGCCACTGGATACACTCCAGAAAAGCTGATGTTTGGTCGAGAACTTCGATTGCCAGTGGACCTGATGAAAAGACGTCCACCTTACGAAGAGTTGCCTGAAAATGTCACAGAATTCGTGAAAGTTTTATCTGAAAGGATGGATGATATTCACCATCAAGTGCATTCAAACTTGAAAACCTCTGCTGATTCCATGAAGCTATGTTATGATAAGATATCAACTGAAGTCAGCTTTGTACCAGGGGACAAGGTGTGGTTGTATAATCCCAGGAAGACCAAAGGGTAGTCTCCTAAGTTGTCTTCTCCATAGGAAGGCCCATATGACATAGTGGATCGTCTCTCAGACGTGACTTTTCGAATAAAATGTGGTCGGCGAGGTAAACCAAAGGTGGTGCATGCCAACAGGCTTTGGAGTTATCACGGTCCAGGTCATTCCAGTTGGAACAAAGTGAACAATGGAACAAATGGCGCTGCTGAAGACGCGTCACCTTAAAAAGCCACTGTTGAAGAAGAAACTCTACCTGGTTTTGAGAAGAAAAACAGTGAAGCAGTTAATGAAGTTACTACCACTGATGTGACTGCTACCGATAATGGGACATTTCCTGATGGAGCAGATGAACCCCACATGAAGCAGAAGCCAATGAGACAGAGACCAGTACGGAAGAAGATACGTTCTGTAAAATTAAGAGACTTTGTTGTATTTTAATTTTGTGTTTGTAAATTCTGTACATTTAATCAAGTTATTGTTAATTGTTTATTGGTTTAATGTGAGTGGCTATTGTTCGGGACGAACAATACTAAGGAAGGGGCAGTGTTACGACAGCGGGGGTCACGTGACGCTAGTAACACGTCATATTCTCGAACGTTCACGTCCCTTCCTGAAGTCTCGAGAGGTTGCTAGACATGCGGTACTCTTGTATATAAGACCGGTAAGAAGTGACGGCAACAATGTAATTGAACTGCAGACAGAGAGAAGCTGACGATTGAGTCGAGCACGTGAGTCGTTCGTTGTGAATTATAGGGTTTGTTATAGCGTGACTGTGGAAATTAAGTGTATTGCAAAGTTGTATTCCGAAAGAATAAACCAGTTTTATTTAAGAAAGGACTTGTGTTGCTAAAGTTTCATCGGAAAGAACTACACGGGAAATTAACTAAGGACCAGAGACGTAACAATATATTTAAATAGGCATGCAAAGCTTAGTTCAATTGAATGTGTTATTTATAACAATAGTAGTTTTTTTCTTTTAAAACATAGCTATTTATAATGCTCCCTAAGTAATAAAAAATAAATTACAGTGAAAGCAATGAAGATTTTGTAAGTTTTGAACCAAATTAAATAACAGTAAACCTTTTTTTGATTTACGGAATTTTCTTATTTTGATGTTTTGAGCTCTTTTGTGTTTAGAACAATATACACTAATTTTTAAAGTATCAAATTATTTACTGTTCTTTTTGAATTGAATTTTGTTTTCGCGCAGTGCTACTCAAACGCTTTCCGCGCTAGACGTCATAATTTGAAATGGTACATAAGAAAGAAGGCAACTAGTCAGCAGCACCTACCGCCAACTCTTGAGCTACTATTATCTGATCGTATAGTAGGGATTGACTTATCATTCGTATAGCGCAACAAAGTGAGAAGCACGGTTTTGTTATGTAACGGGATGCGAACACTGTATTTACCGATCCACAGTCTGATACAATAACCACAGTGTTGTTCTTTGTGACAATTTTCTCTATAAGCTACATTTACTTCTTAGTTCTACAATCTCCTTGTGCAACTCGGCGATTTTAATATTCCTAAATATATATAAACCAACTTTGATTTTGCTAATGTTTTATTCTATTCTTTAGGCCTAGTGTTACAAATAGTGCTTTCACTTGTGGGGGTCATTATAAAAGTACCATTAATCCCACTACTCGG